TTTTCAATGTTTTATTGAGTGGTATCATTTCCAGAAAAAGACACTTATCTGGCTCACATTATACATATTTCTCTTTCCTTCCAAAACACAAGTAAAGATTTGCTATATTTGGAAAGATTGAAGGAAGAATAGTAATTAAAACGCTATAATCAGTGCTGCGGAAAATCAGTCCACTCCATGTTTCCTGTCTGTTGGCAGATTCGGCCCCTTTCTCTGTCTGCAGAGGATGTATAGGAGAGGAAGAGATGGAACCTCTGTTTGCTCAGTGTCCCTAAAGGCGAATTATCTGAGGCGAGAAAGTCACTGCGAATTTGACATGTTTCCCATGTCCTCTGCCGCCTTTAGGTAATCTTCCTGCATTAGGAGAGAGGTCCAGGATGTGGCTCTGTTTAAAAGGAACAGAAACTATAAATCTGTATAATCCGTGTTTCCAAATCCTTTCCTGCCACAGGTCACATAACATGATAATGTGCTATAAGGGGAATGATGGAGGGGATGAATTGATGACGCTGGTGGGACGTGGGCTATTCACAGCATATGATTTTACACATAAAGAAAACTATTTAACAAAAAGATTTTTTCTTAGGTCAAGTAGAATTGATAGAAAATGTAATGCTCATATTTTTTACATTTTAGGCCAAACTGCAACAAAATCTCAATCAAGTGTTTTAAGTTTGGCTATTTTGGCCTCAAATTCCCCCCAATTTACACTTTAGTGATAACCCTGTGTGCAAGTGCCAGAGAAGTAACCTAATGCAGGTCGTGGATGAATCCTGCTTGGATACAGCATCGCATTACTCCGTCTGAGCATCTGTGCAGGTGACGTCATATACATTCCGTGCTACTACCTTGGAGGGCTTGATTCTCAAGCAGTTCCTAGTCTCGCTTGCCAGTCTAGGAGGACATTTAAAAGAAACTGCATCCTAAGAGAACTGCAGCTTTTTCAAGCTGTTTTTAGGTATATCCCAATAGAAAAACGCATAATTAAATGCATTTTAATTGGGGTAAATCTACTAAACACTATTTGGGGTATGTCTACCAAACACTATTTGGGGTATATCTACTAATCACTATTTGGGGTAAATCTACCAAACACTATTTGGGGTATATCTACTAATCACTATTTAGGGTATATACTATTTAGGGTATATCTACTAATCACTATGTGGGGTATATCTACTAATCACTATTTGGGGTATGTCTACTTAACACTATTTGGGGTATATCTACTAATCACTATTTGGGGTATATCTACTAATCACTATTTGGGCTAAGTATACTAATCACTATTTGGGGTATATCTACTAAACACTATTTGGGCTAAGTATACTAATCACTATTTGGGGTATATCTACTAAACACTATTCGGGTATATCTACTAAACACTATTTGGGGTATGTCTACTAAACACTATTTGGGCTAAGTATACTAATCACTATATGGGGTATATCTACTAAACACTATTTGGGGTATATCTACTAAACACTATTTGGGCTATGTATACTAATCACTATTTGGGATATGTCTACTAAACACTATTTGGGTATATCTACTAAACACTATTTGGGGTATGTCTACTAAACACTATTTGGGCTAAGTATACTAATCACTATTTGGGCTAAGTATACTAATCACTATTTGAGGTAAATCTACCAAACACTATTTGGGGTATATCTACTAAACACTATTTGGGCTATGTATACTACTCACTATTTAGGGTATATCTACTAAACACTATTTGGGTATATCTACTAAACACTATTTGGGGTATGTCTACTAAACACTATTTGGGCTAAGTATACTAAACACTATTTGGGGTATGTCTACTAATCACTATTTGAGGTAAATCTACCAAACACTATTTGGGGTATATCTACTAAACACTATTTGGGCTAAGTATACTAATCACTATATGGGGTATATCTACTAAACACTATTTGGGGTATATCTACTAAACACTATTTGGGCTATGTATACTAATCACTATTTGGGGTATGTCTACTAATCACTATTTGAGGTAAATCTACCAAACAGTATTTGGGGTATATCTACTTAAATATCTTGAAAAAAAAGAAAAAAAGAAGAAGATTTGGTCAGTGGAGTGTTCATTTAATTTAGGTTCTGATAATAATAAACAGTATATCCGCTAAAGGGATCCCAGTTTGACACACTGGGCAACCTGGTGCGTCCTCATTACATGTCAACTAACAAGGATGATGAAAAAAGATACATAAGATTTACTCTATACACAGAGATATCTTCATAGGGATTTGGGATAGTGCGCAAGTAACTATTTTCTTTTTTTTTAAATGCATTTATGTATTGGGGCTGATGTGTTCTATAGTCATTGCTGTCGTCCAGGAGTAGTGGGAGTTTGAGTGCATAACTTTGTTCTGTATATTTATATTTGCTTTTGTGTCACACAGCTATGTTACAATGTTGCTGCTGCCCACCCCATGTGTTAACTATTAAGGGTTAATAAGTCTGTAGGGGTTTGGTAAAATACTCCTTTACCTCTCATTAGAGGTTTCTTTTTCCCTGAAGCTAAAAGCAGCAAAGTAAATTGTTAGTGTAGGACTCACCTAAGAGGTTTGCCTTGCCGTGGCAGGTTGGCTTACACATTAATGGTCATTGGAGTTATATAGAAAACCTCCAGTCATTTAAAGGGATTTGGGATAGTGCGCAGGTAACTCTTTTCGATGGTTTTTATTGGATGGAATGGGGCTGATGTGTTCTATAGCCCCTTAAGGACACATGACGGAAATATTCCTTCATTATTCCATGTTATTCCAGAAGTTGTGTCCTTAAGGGGATAGTTGTTGCTGCCACCCAGGAGAAAAGGAATATGGTTTCCGTTAAGTGGATGCGTTGAGCACGTTTTTTTGCACACGTTTCAAATTTTTGGGTGGTATTTTACTTTTGTTTGGATTCATTTGAAGGGATTAATCGCTTTATAGAACAGCATTTAAACATTATCAGGGTTATTTACTAACGTTAATTTTTTGCTTTAGCGTAACTGGAACTCTCTGAGCCAGCTAGGCTCGCAGTTCAGCTACTCTGGCCTTCCATTTAAAATTCACTCTGAATTCTCAGGTTAATATAGAACCATGTACATTGCGAGTGCTTGCTACATTGTCCCTTTAAAACTATATTGGGAAATAAAGTAGCAAACTCCTTACAAATGAGTGATCCACTGTTTAATTTTTCTAAAGGGTTTGCTGCTATCATTATCTTTTTGGTCAAAATATACTTTTATGTATTTAATAGAAAAGAGATATCTATCCTACCTCCATGTCTCAGCAGAGCACTTAGCTGCGGGTGAGGTAATGATAAACTAAACGTAGTCTGAGTAATGAGCATTAATATTCCCACAGCTGGTAACTTAATAATGTTTGACCTTTGGGAATTTAACCTTGTAACTAATACCACCATTTGTTTCACTATTGCATCCATATGCCGTATAGAATACCGTGCCTTCTTGTTAAAGGTGTGTAGGTTTGCCAACGTATAGAACAGAATGATGATTCTGCATAGTGAGATCTAGACCTGACTACATTTGTATCGCCATTGTTAAAGAATAATTCTATTTTTTTTACTTTAGACATTTATTTCCAGAATTTTAGTTATACTTTGTCCACGGAGCTCACAGACTGAGTGGACTCTATATTAGCTTTAGTTTCGTTGAGCAGGATTCTTTTTGATAGGGTGCTTTTGATGCACGTGAGATTTGGCAGTGATTAATTAAAGGGTACTCATCATGCTGTTCATGTGTAATGTTCTTTTTAATGAGCATAACATTCTATCTATACACTGTGCTAGCAAATGTATAGATTGAGAGAAAAAAGTATTTTATTCAAAAAAAAAAGTCTTATTCCCACTTGCCAATCAATTCTTTGTCATAGGCCCTGTGCCAAATAATTGATTGATTGAGGGAGAGCAGCAGAGACCTTCTGTTAGAGTGGATTTCCTTTGTATTGCATTGTCTCTGGTCCATTCAGCTCTGCCCCCTCTCCATTTCATTCATTACTCCTCCATTTGCATCTTATCATCCCTCCAATAATTATTTTTTTTCTATATTTTTCTTCTATTCTTCCCAGTCCCCTAGACGGCATCTTTCCCTTTAACTGTTCTTTTTTTTAAAACTCTATCGCAGTATTTCTTGCCTTGAAATATTGCTGTCATTACAATAGACATTACATTCATGTTTTTAATGAATGAAAGTACTCGGCCTGCTTATAGAAAGGTCCTAAAAGCAGGCCACCCTAATTAAAATCCCTTCTTTCCAACAATCGTCATGAAACGTCCCCTTCTGCTTTTGAGCCTCTGATCTCAAAGCTTAAGGTCACAAGGAGCGGACACTGCCAGGAGTTCAGTAGGTATTGCTGATGGTAGTGAATATATTAGGGTATTGCGGCGAGTGAATGGACTGGTGGTCCTTATGTAAGGCCTACTTTAACAGGTGTGACCATGCATCCTCTGAGAGCTGTGCCTTTCCTTTCAGTTTGGATGCTAATTGTTTGTATGATAAATGTGTTGTATCTTTGAAAAAAGCCACTGCCAGAGCTAATGTTTAGCCACAAAATTATGGTTTGGTTTTATCTATCGATATAGAATACATAGAGTACCTGTATAAAATACATACAGCTTTATATTCTTTATATTCCTTTATTTGACACTGACATATTCCACAGAGCTGTAGCAGAAGACCCACCACTTTGCTCTCTTAATTCCATACAGTATTTATTTTCTGAAATATTTTCTTTTCTCTGGGTCCAGACCCAGAGATAAAAAAAACACACACAAAAAAAAAACCCTACCCAGTATGTAATGGGTTAATGCTCCAAAATAGATTAAACAAAGCATTGTTTGGTATCTAAATTTTCAGAGATCACAGTTGATTCCGCTCAGCATCCAAAGGAAATGCTGCTTGTCAGGTTAATAATCTAATTGCCTGAAAGGTGTGATTATATTTGACAGATCAAATACACAAGTGGCAAAGGGTCCTTTCCTTTTTGCAAGCTTAACTCTTGATGGATTTTGCACAATTTTGCACCATAAGCCCACCTCCTTAGCCACACGTCCTCTTGCAAGAAAAAGACTTCCTTATCAACTGTATGTACACAGTCCCAACTGCACTAAGTGAGCTGCTTTTAATTTTATCACATGACAGGAGGCTTCCTATTTTGCATAACTTTCTTTACTTAACTCCATAGCAGTAAAGAAAGTAAAAACATTTAACCAATCAAAATGCAGTAGGGAGTATAGTATTCCCAGTAAATAGGCTCCTTCTCCTCTTTCTTTACTGCTCCATCGCAGACAGGTCAGAATTTTTGGCTCTTCCCTTGTTTTTCTCTATTGTTTCATATTACTTTGCTATATTTATTAGATATACATATATATATTCTTAGTGTTTCTCTATGGTTTTCTCTGGATATACTCTGTATATTCGCTGTTTTATTTATCTATATTTCCAAGCCTCACTGTACCTAATCTTGCGTTCGGCAAGCTCTTCCCCCTATCCCGCCCTCGGGCAGACCCGGTCTATCTTGCTGGCGGTCTCTACCGCCGGATTCCTTCTCCTGGGGAATCCCCCCCTTCACCGCTGCCCCGACGGCTGTAAACCACTATCCCTCCGCCTTACCCGGCTCCCTGGCACACATTAACACAGACGTGGCGGCCATTTTCGAGCTTGCATCTCGCGAGATTATGGCCGCCATTTTAACACAACTCTGCAGTGCCGCGAGTACCGCAAGCGAGATACACGGACTCTTAAAGCCACAGAAGTCAGTCATTTACTTTATAGCTGTATATAAGCACATAAGGGCTTATTACCCTGTGCTTACCTGGGGTGCTGCCCCTATACATATTGTGCTGCTATTGGAGGTCACCCTGTGGCCACCTCTGCATTTCTGTGTGAGGCCCAGCAAGATTTATAAATCCCAATAAAGTGGTTTGGCCCTGCTGGGGCTATTTGACACTGATAAGTGCCAGAATTAGGCTGCATACCCTGCTGGGGTTTAGCAACAGCTTTACTACCATTACTAATATACCCTGCTGGGGTCCACAAAAAAGTTTTTACACCACCACTTATACCCTGCTGGTGTACTCGATATTTACATACCCTGCTGGGATTATTTTGTACTTGATACAATACACTGCACGCTACTGCACCCTGCTGGGGCTCGCATAGTGCTATCTATACAGTCAAATCACTGACTACAGTACAGCCTATACTGACCTCTGCTATATACGCCCTGTGCCAGACCTATATATAACCTATCAATCGGCATTATGGAGGCCTCTCAAAAACCGACAGACCTCTAGGTTATGATAAATGAGACCGTAGCTGATCACTTTGACACCACCATGGTGCGCGAATGGGCTCATGATGTACGGGAGTGGGCACAAAGATGCTTTTGCTTTGTGGGAAAAGCCAATGTCACCCTCTCCTCTGAGCGACGCAAAGCAGCACTACTCCGCATTGATGGAAAGTTGGTGGAATTGGGCACCAAGGAGCTAGGTCCTTTGGCACAGGGCAAGCTATTCGGGGACCCCTTCCTCAAGGATTTGAACAGGCATGTCAATGTTTTCACATCCTTAAATAAGGCTCAAACCTCTATGCAGAGAGTCTTTCGACACAACCCAACTAGGGGTGTTTTTGGACGGGCTGGCAACCAAAGGGGCGGTGTGCTGCCAGCCGTTTCTGGCGTTCAGGCCCCCACACTTTAGGCCACAACCCTTCTACCCAGAGGTGAGATACCGTCCTTCCTTTTATTCCCGAGGTGCAGACAGAGGTCGTGTTCCACGTACCCGAGGCAGAGCATGCTTCTCCACAGGTAACAGCTTAACCCCACCTTCTTTTCCTCTTAGTACTGCAGGTCGCATTTCACTGTTTCTCCAGGAATGGACAACCATCTCCACGGACACATGGATCCCCAGACGGTACGCGGCTACATCATAGACTTCGTAGACCATCCACAACAAAGGGGACTACCACATCCCATCAGCTGCTCAACGGAAGACACCAAGCTCATCAACAAAGAGCTGCAAGAACTATATTCGAAAGGCGGGGTTTCTTCAGCAACATTTTCTTGGTGAAGAAGAAAACAGGAGATTTCCGCCCCCTCATAAAATTGAGACGACTCAAAGTATATGTCACGTACAGGCACTTCAAGGTGGAGGGCATACATCTTCTGAGAGACCTATTACAAGACAAAGATTGGTTCACAAGACTAGACTTGAAGGTTGCATACCTATCGGTACCCGTCCACCAATCCTGCCGGCAATTCCTAAGATTCCACTGGCAAGGCCTTCCCTGGCAATTCACGTGCCTACCTTTCGGCCTCAGCTCGGCCCCATGGTGCTTCACCAAACTACTGAAGCCCGTGGTCTCTCATCTTCGAGCACAAGGAATTTGCTGCATTATATACCTGGACAACCTCCTGCTGTTCTGCTCCGACAAGTCCAGACTGGTACGACACACACGCTATGCCACGGATCTTCTGTCATCCCTGGGATTCGTAGTGAACTTTCCAAAATCAGCCATCTCCCGATCCCAAATGGTACAATTCCTAGGATTCGAGATAGATTCCACCTCCAGCACACTGCGACTGCCGACATCAAAGATCTCGGCCATTCGCAAAGAATTGCGCAGGGCCATTCATTGCCACACCATTCCACTCCACGCTCTCGCTCGAATAGTGGGTTTACTCTCCACTTCCATACAAGCGATCTTTCCAGGCCCACTCCATTACAGGGCGATGCAACGCCTCAAAGCTTCCTTTCTCAGGGAAAATCCATCATACGACCAGCCGGTCCCGATGACAGAGGAAGTCAGAGACGAACTCAGATGGTGGCTAGACAGCATGGAGGCATGGAACGGCCGAGCCATCTTTGGAAAAACACCCGACATAGTCTTGGAATCAGACGCCAGCCTCTGGGGATGGGGCACGACAAGCGAAGGTACATCGACAGGAGGCGCTTGGACCTCCCAGGATCTCAACATACACATAAATTGTCTAGAGCTTCTAGCGGGATCATTTGCCATCCGCTGCCTGACAAAGGACAAGACGGACTGCTGCATCCTCCTCAGGATGGACAACATCTCCGCAGTCCGCTACATCAACCGCCTGGGCAGAGCCCGCTCCCGTCTTCTGTCGGAAATAACGAAGGAGATCTTCGACTTCTGTCTACCCCGCAATATCTCCCTCACAGCGGAATACCTCCCAGGGGAGACGAACTTCACGGTGGACTGGTTCTCACGCCACTGGCGGGACACCAGCGACTTGAGAATAGATCCACAGATCTTCAACGGCATAGCGGAACGTCGAGGTCCGCTTCACCTGGATCTGTTTGCGTCCCGCAACAACAGACAAACAACACTATACTTCAGCTGGCTCCCAGCCCCGGAGAGCAAAGCAGTAGACGCATTCCTACAACCATGGCCGAACAAGGGAGCATACGCCTTCCCTCCCTTTGCCATGATAGCGAGAACCATCCTCTACTTGAGATGTCAACAAACCTCTCTGGTGCTCATCACTCCATTATGGAGGGGACAGCCATGGTTCCCGGAGCTCCTAGCCCTATCATACAAAAATCCCCTCCTGCTACCTCATCATCAGTACAATCTCACAGATCCTAAAGGCAACCCCCATCCACTCATTTTGGACAATCGTCTCACTCTGGTGGCTTAGACGCTTTCAGGGGTACCTGAGGGACTGGCCACCTAACGACAGGCTCTCTCTCCGCCAACTCTCAGCAAAACTCACAGTTCTGCTTTGCCTGGTCTCGTTCCGCAGGATATCGGACGTTCGAGCATTTGACAAAGACGCGTTCTCAGTCTCCCCAGAGGGAGTAACGTTCCGGGTATCTTGTCGCACAAAATCTGACTCTGCGTCGGTGTTCTACCCTTTTTTCACCACCGAGCCTCAACTATACGTCGTTTCCACCCTACGACGGTACGTGGAGGTTGCGCTTCCGATTCGGACCTCGTCCTCAGGCCAACTCCTGGTCTCATATGTTAGACCACACGTTCCCATCTCGACGACCACCCTCGCCAGATGGGTTTGTTGGGTCCTTTCACTAGCAGGCGTGGAAGCTACCTTCGGGGCCCACTCGGTACGCGGAACAGCGGCTTCCTCTGCCTTCGTGGCGGGTGCCTCCCTGTCGGGCATCCTACGTCCTGCGGACTGGTCTAGAGAATCTACGTTCTGCACTTTCTATTTCCGCCCGAACTCCGGTGCGCCCATGTCACTTATACAACAGCGTTAAAAATGCAAAATAGGAAGCCTCCTGTCATGTGATTATGCTAGCGTTAGTGTACTTATAATCTTAATTTTAATAATGACAGGAGGCGAGTATATTCCCACCCTTCCCACTTGGGGAGGAGGGGAAACTCCGTAGTATAGTATGCCTCAATTTCTTCTCCTGCACTCCATCTCTATCTGTCTCTTCTCGAGTTCTCTCCATTTTAGCCTTGATCAGTTAAACTTGTATATGGGGGTATACTCTACCAGTCAATTGTTTTATTATAGCACTAATCAATGGGTCACTACCATTGCTACAACCAGTGCCTAACCTATTTCACACTCTTGTTTCAGTTTAATTTCATAAAAGTGTGGACCAACTGCAGGAAGTTACTCGGCATCCCGCTCATCACATGATGACCATCGTGCCTCCCGGATGTTCACCGGAAGACAGCCACTAGAGGCTGGCTTAACCCTGCAATGTAAACATAGCAGTTTCTCTGAAACTGTTATGTTTACATGTGAAGGGTTAAAACCTGAGGGACCTGGCACCCAGACCACGTCATTGAGCGGAAGTGGTCTGGGTGACTATAGTGTCCCTTTAATTTCAGTTCTAGTTTTGTTATTATTCATTTGGCTACTACATGGGGTGATATATTTATTTATGTAACTACTATTCATTCTTTCTGTCTACTTTCAGCCAAACTGAACACACAACATTTTCACAGAAATGTGATACCAAATGTTTCAGCAATTTTCAACTACGAATTCCAAGCATCATCAAAATGAAAGATTGCTGACGAAGAGAAGTTTCGGTTTGTGACATAATACAGCTCCTGTTGACGTATTTGTCTGTGACCCTCAAATGTCAGAGGTCAAAGAGGGCATGGAATAAAGAGACAATTGATTTTTTTAAAAAGTGATTTTGCATCTGGAAGATGACTTTGAATTGCAACGTACAAAGTGATGATGTTCTTTTTTTACTATCTTATAATGTAAAGCAAGATTGTATAAAAATAGTGTCAGTTTTTTTTTTAATAAACTATCGTTCTGATAATTTGCTATAATTCGAATGGATATATAAAGCATCTCAAATTAGTTTTGTAAGTTTATTTTTATTGAATCAAATGCAGAACGTCATAGAATGACAAAAAACATATATAGAAGAAACAGGTATGCAATTGCCTATTTAGATCTGTCATTTGTCTGACCATCATCTAACCTGCACTGTTAATGTACCCCTCAATCTAGCTAATCATGGGCTATTAGAAGCCTTCCCTTCAAAACTCTTTATCTGCATCACTTCTGTCACGCTCCAGTCTCCACTTTTTACTCTCTTCCACTCTCGCCTTTCTCCTGAACCTGCTCTAGCCAAAGCGACTAATGATGTTATCACTGCTAAATCTAAAAAAGTCATTACTCTCTCTTAATTCTCCTTGACTTCTCTACTGCTTTTCATACAGTTGTCCACAATCTTCTTCTTCAAACCCTCCAAAACACTTTCTTGGTTTTCATCCCATCTTTCTGAATGCCCATTAAGGGTCTCGGTGTTTCCCAAGCCTCTGTTCGTGGTCCTCTTCTTCTATTCTCCATTTATAATATCTCTCTCGGTAACCTTATTAACTCTTTTGAATTTCAATACAATCTATATGCGGACGATACTCCAATTTGTCACTCCTCCTGCACTCCTGGAACGTGTTGTAAACGACCTCTCTTCCATCTCTCACTGCATGTCTTCCCAAAACTAGTCCTTCCTCCATCTATCTTCATGCACATCAGTGACACCTAGTACCCCAACCCGTCAAACTCGCTGCCTTGGAGTTACTCTTGACTCACGTCATCTCCTCTTTCATGCTATTATTTATCTTAGATTGTAGTTTGCAAGCTCATTTGGGCACGGTCCTATTCAGCTGTTGTTCCAGTATGTCAGTCAGTCATGTTGTGTTAGAATTTAGTATAAAAGGACACTGTAGTCACTATAATTAATTAGTCACTATAACAACTTTTGTATATATTGTGTATTAATATTGTTTTTGTATTTTGTTGTACCTAATGTAACAATGCAATTATTTGTGGACCCAGGACATACTTGAAAACGAGAGAAATCTCAATGTATCTTTCCTGGTAAAATATTTTATAAATAAATAAATAAATAAATAACTTCAGCTTAAATAAGTTGTTATAGTGTCCTATATAAACCACTAGACATTTGCATTTGTTTACTAAAACGTAAACGAAAGCCCTACAAATGAAATCTAAACGAAACAAAAGGGGCAAATGCCAAATGCATTACCTTTTTGTTTAATTAACCCCCACAGCACGGAGATATAAGTGTGCATGCGCGGGAAAAAATGAGGGAGCCGGCAGCACTACCAGCTCGTTCTTTGCAATAAATATTACAATTTCCCCATGCTGTGTAATTTGACTCATAACACTGTGATTGGTTGCTTTCAAATAAAGGTACCCATACCCGCCGCTCATGGGTGGGGACCAGGGAGGACATTAGGTTCCCCGTTTATATTAATAGTAAAATGCAAATGTTTAAATACATGTTAATTAAAAAAACAACAACCCAAGGTAAGTACTTAAAAAAAATAAAAATTTTTTTTAAAACACAATAATTAAAGGGACACTGTAGCTACCATCTATTGCTCCATGCATTTTATCGCTTTTGATCTACATAATATATTGGGGAGGGTTGCATGCTTAATTTTGTATAGTTTGTGTGACAAAATCGTGACTCTTCCTAGTGCCATAAGACCTCCCTCTCCAGAGCCACATTGGTAATACGGAATTAACACTTTCACATTGTCAATCAGCCAGGCAGCGAAGAGTCATGGTTCATGGTGGTGTGGGTTAACTGTATGTGTAACTGCATGAAACAAAGACCTCTTTTGCTTAATTTTTTACTTATTTTCTTAAAAACAAAAAATCATTTTCAGACACAACTGGAAGAAATTGCAGACCTAATTCTTTTTATGATTTTTTTTTTTTACAACAGTGCAAGAATATATAGTAAATAAAGTAAGAAAATAGGTGGAGAATCCATGACTACTTGTTGATGTGAGCCAGTGGGAATTCTAATCCTTAACAACAAAGCCAATCCTCTTCCTTTATAGTTCATTCATTTTCAGATGTAACATACATCTCCCTTCCATTGCCATTTTCTGGAACATAACATTATATGTTAGGACCCTAAGTAACGGCATTCAGGAAACTCAAGAACTCTGTCTTTGAGGACTACGTTATGCACTACTCAATAAGAATGTGATACAAATATGAGCTGTCTAGTTTAACTGAATAATATTGAATCCCTCAAGCTTTCATCCAAGCTACTAGTCATTGAGGGAAATATCTGGTTTGCGTTTCAGGCCTCACACAAAGTGACGTGACTCAGAATTAAATCTCCAGCACACAGGGCTGTGACAGTGATGGACAAGAATTAAGGATGACCTTTTTTGTGTGTGATGTTAACCTGCGCCTCATAAACAAAGCAAATGTCATCCTTTCACTGGTCGGGAGACCAAAGAGGCACAGAATAAAATCTATACCATAGATTTCTTGGAGGGCGAAACAGCTGTGTGGTTTTTCTAGTAACCAATTATTGATACACTTTAACCTTTCACCTTTACACTAGACCCTTTCTGGCTGAAGGCAATTTAAATACATCAAGATGATCAGATTGCATTGCTTTGTCTTTTTGGTCCCAGCCGGGCTACCTCTTAAGCCATAATAAATTCACATAACACACTTTGTGCTACTGGAAGATCATTTTTGAGATTTAATTGACTAAAACTAGACTAAAACAAATCAGATCATTAAAACTAAAATAGCTTTTTAGTCAAAATACTATGACTGAAACTAAATTGAAATTTGCCACCAAAATTAACACTGGTTTGGGGGGACTTCATAATTTGGGAATAAAATCTCATCTAAGAAACAGTCAAGATTTGCATTCTACATGTTATGCAGTACAGTATAAACAAAATGTATGGAAATTACTCAAATAATAGAGAAAGGAATATAATCACAATTTACCATAGAACAGAAAAGAGAGAACCAGGATATGTCAACTTGACTCAGGCTTGAGAGGCGAAATGATCACCAAAAATCTGTAAAAATGTCAGCATAGGGCAGGCCTGACCACAATCAGAGATGGACGCTTAATTTCTCTCTCCTTAACCTTATTGTGTTACTACGGCTGTAAACCCCGACCTCACTCACCTTCATGGGCAAGTCGCATCGAGCATTGGGCTCCCAGAGGGCTGCCGACTCCAAAAAGGGGTATCTTACCCCATCCCTCCGATGGTACCTCTCCATGCCGATGGACCTGGACTCCTTGACTCCGTCGGAAGGAGCCTCGGACGGCGCAGAAACTCACTCCATGGCCTTCTCTCCAGAGGAAATATTGCCTGTCACAGAGGACAGAGATTGGGGCAAGAAACTGCAATCTCTCCCCACACGTGCTGACCTGGCTGGCGCCAACAGCATGCTGAAGACATAAATCCGGCTGGATATACAGTCCCTCTGTGAGGACATACAGGGCCTGGGTGACTGCGTAGGCCATGTGGAGGCCACATGCGATCAACTCAGATCGGCCAATGCTCACGTAAGTGACACACAGACATAGCATGAGGACATGCACCATCAAGCACTGGTGAAGGCCACCCTGGAAGTATGGCACAGAACGGCCTCGCAGATGGGCCTCTCATCCTTCCCATTCCCTCTGTACCCAATCACGTTCAACAACCCAGACTTCACCCCGGGCATGGACCGAAGGGCATTCACATGCCTGACACCACTGACACACATTCAAATAAGACACATGATGAATGACAAAATCAAACCCCTCAGAGACTTCCTTGACACATTCCACATTACTTTCCTACACAGACTGAAATATGAACAGATCCGACAATTCCTGAAAAACATTCCACAGAAACCCGACCTCAACATGGCTTTGACCCCATTTGAAAGACTGGGGATAGACCTGGACCCACTTTTACAGGCCATCTCCCACCTATATATACCCTGCTCCTACACAATAGGAACCTCCCACTACCTCCATACATGGGGAAATGGGAATCGATGATGGGTGACACTTTCACAAAACAATAATGGGTCAAAATATGCGACCTTACCACTGGGCTCTGGCAAGTAAAACCCAAGAGACGGTATACAAAGTTTTGACCCTACGGTATAGAGCACTGCAATTCTTGCAGAAAATGAACCCAAACCTGAGCGACAGGTGCTGGCGATGCCACACTGGGGTGGGCACACTTTTGTACATATGATGGGAATGCCAAAAGGTGTTCCCCTACTGGCGAATGATCAGTAAGGTGCTACAAAATTTCTGACAACCCACCCCCTTTCAAACCTACCACATACCTCTTACACCGCACTGCAACCTCGACAGCCAAATATAAAAAATCCCTGACTATACGGATATTGAACACAGCAAAACACATCCTGCCCCTGTATTGGAAGACAGACACAACCCCCCAGCCTGGTTTGCGAAAATGGAGAAGCTACGTAGACTTGAAGACTTGACGTTCACAGCACAGGGCCGCTCACAAACGTACTTAGACATATGGACACATTGAAAATCTCGTCAGTAGACTTCTACTAGCCAAAGTATGCTGACATACAGACAACAGAGGGACAACACGGGGAATGAGGAGGATGACACTCAGGCACAAACCCAGAATTAGACGGAAACCTCGGGTTGCTGGTCCATTTAAGGTGGTGACCGACACTCCTCCACCCTGGCTCACTGCTCATACCTGAACCACCACA